CCAGACGTCCTGCGGGGGCTGGAAGGGCCAGGCGTCCGGTCCGGGGGCCGCGGTGGGAGCTGTCCACCCGGGGCCCAGCCCAGGGCGCTCGTTCCGCTGCCCAGGCTCCGCCTCTGGCTGTGGGGCCTGAGGGTGGCTCAGCCTCTGAGGGCCGGCAACATGGGGAAGGTATTGTGTGACCCGCATGAGTGCGTTGGGGACCGAGCAGGGATTCAGAGTGAACCTCAGGGGACACAGGGTGCCTGGACCTGGCACCGAGCTTGCTCCCCGGCCGCGTCTCAAGCCCTTCCCTGCCTGCGGGGCCGAGCGGGTGTGGCCGAGCGCGGGGAAGGCAAGGGCCCTGGCCTCGGAGCTCACCGGGCGGGTCCCCCGCAGGTGCTACATCACCCTGACCCAGTCCCTGCACCTGATCATGGGAGGCGCCCCCGCGGGCCCGGCCGGGACGGGCAAGACAGAGACCACGAAGGACCTGGGCCGGGCCCTGGGCACCATGGTGTATGTCTTCAACTGCTCCGAGCAGATGGACTACAAGGTCTCCCCTCCCTTCCCCGACTGCAGGGGCAGGGGCAGGGGCCCCCAGGGGCGGGGCCAGCTGAGGGCCAGCTGAGGGCCTCCTCCTCTCTCCCCCAATCTCGCCTTTCCAGTCCTGCGGCAACATCTACAAGGGCCTGGCCCAGACTGGGGCCTGGGGCTGCTTCGACGAGTTTAACCGCATCTCCGTGGAGGTCCTGTCGGTGATCGCCGTGCAGGTAGGGCCCGCGCAGTCGCGCAGTCGCTGGGTTGGGCACAGGGACTCGTTGCCTTGTCAGCTCGGGGCAAGTCAGCTTTCCCGTGGGGTCCGTTTGTGCAGCCCGACCAGGGGGCACAGAGATAAGCGAGACCCCAGCCCTGACCTCCAGGGGCCACACTCTGGTTGGGCGGACAGAAGTGAAAACAGTAAGAATCCGCTGTGGAGGCTTGGATGGGATTGGATAGGGATGAGGGAACCCGGACAGAGGGCCTGTTGTAGGTGTCAGTGGAGCTGGGTGTTGAAGGATGCATAGGAGTTCGTTAGTGAGACAAGAGTGTCAGGGGAGAAGGGGAAGACAACGGAGAAAAGGGGAGGAGGGGGTGTGCTCCTGTTTGGGGAACCCTCGGGCCAGAGCACAGGGTGGCGGGGACCAGGTGGAGCAGGGCTTGCCAGTGATTTAAACTCTCTGTGCCTCCACCTTCCAATCTGTAAAATGGGTTCGATGACACAGGTTTGCTGGCAAGGTTAGGGGTGAATGCGGGGAGCCGACACCCTCCACTCAGGTTTCCCTCCTCTGCACGGATTGTCCCGGGGCCGGAGGCCAGTAAGACAGAGAAGGCGAGCCAGCCAGTTCCCCCGGACCCTCGGGTAGTGCTGGCCATTGCCTCGGGGACCCCTAACCCCAGTGCAGTAG